AAATGTCTCATCGCGAGTCACTAAGGAAGACAAAAGGAGAGCAGAAACCGCTCCATCTCACAGGCAGGACTCCTGGTGACAGGGCAGAGGTCTGTCACAGAGCAGTGCAAGACTGTGCGGGGACCCCGCAACAGGGAGCTAAGTGCAGAAGCTTTTTCGTTTATGTGTCACAGAATCCTTTTGAAGATTACATGGCCGGCATCCATTTCTGACTGAAGATAGTTGGCACTTCTTACATCATTAGAACACTAAGATTTTTAAAAACAACTTTCCAAAAATGAAGCAGAGCACAGACTGCACTCAGCCTTTTCTCGGGGTGTTGTAAGAGAGAGGAGTCGTAAACGAGTGCTTTATAAAGCAGGAATGCCTTTCTGAGCCTTTTTTTTCTTTTCTTTTTTTTTTTTTAAAGAAGTCATTTCTGTTAACAAAGTGTTGATTTGGTTTGGCATTTTAAGAAGTTAGATTCTGGGGGCGCCTAGGTGGTTCAGTCAGTTAGGTGTCTGATTCCTGATTCCAGCTCAGGTCGTGATCTCACGGGTCCGGTTCGTGAGTTCGAGCCTCGCGCTGGGCTCTGCGCTGATGGTGGAGCCTGCTTGGGATTTTCTCTCCCTCTCTCTGCCCCTCCCCTCTTTGTGCTCTCTGCCTCTCTCAAAAAACAAACTTACGAAGTTAGCTTCTATGCACTAAACACTATTTAGATTCTGTGACACTCTTCTTTGTGTCACTTCAAGAGTGGTCCCAGGAGCATCAGAGGGTGAGTAATAACCCAGCATTATTCATGGATATTGGTAGTGAAATTCAAAAGCTATTTTGTGTGTGCATGTGTGAATCTTTTACACAGAGAAAATGAATGTAAAATTGCAGCCTGAGTATAGTTTTTTTCATATGAACATTTCCCTATCCTCAAGAGAACAGTAATTTCATAGAATAAAAATAAACTAACAGATACTGGCCAACCTGAAACCAGTATATAAGTGGTCAAGGAGGAAATAAAAGAAAAAGTGGGGTGTGCGTGGGGGGCTCAGGTGGTTAAGCATCCGACTTCGGCTCAGGTCACGATCTCACGGGTCGTGGGTTTGAGTCCCGTGTCAGGCTCTGTGCTGACAGCTCAGAGCCTGGAGCCTGCTCTGGATTCTGTGTCTCCCTCTCTCTCTGCTCCTCTCCCATCCCCACTCACACTATCTCTCTCTTTCTGCCCCTTCCCCACTCATGATCCCTCTCTCTCTCTCTCTCTCTCAGAAATAAACATGAAAAAAATTTTTAATAGAAGTATGGCAGTTTTTTCAATGATGACACAGCATTATTTCCCATTCTGTAAATGGTCTAAACACATCCATTACAAACAGAGATTGTCAGATTACAAAAAGAAGCAAGAACCAAACATGCTGTCTATAAGAAAGACACTTCAAATGTAGTAACACAGGTTAGAAGCAAAAAGATGGAAAAAGGGAATACAAAAGGAGAGCAGAATGCCATGCTAACATTAGTCAAAAGAAAACTAAAGTATCTATATTAATATCAGAGAAAGGAGTTTTCAGAGCAAAGCATTTTAGCGGGGATACAAAGGGTCACTTCATAAGGATAAAAAAGGTCACTTCAACAAAAGAACATAAAAATCCTAGATATTTAGGCACATAACAATAAGACAGCTTCAAATTACATAAAACAAAGACTAATAGAACTTCAAGGAAAAGTAGATACACCCACAGTTTTAGTCAACGGTTGTTAACACCCTTCTCCCAAAAACGGATACAAGTAGACATAAGCCATCGGTAAGGATATAAGTAAAAGACTTGAACACTATCAACCAACTTGACCGCTGACATTCAAAACTCCACCCAACAATGGCAACATACACAATCTTTTCAAGTGCACATGCACATTTTCCAAGCTAGATCACATTCTGAATCATAAATCAAAACATGACACATTTCCAACAACTCAAACAATGCAAAGTATAGTCTCAGACCACAATGGAATTAAGTTAAAAACCAGTAACAGAAGGATACCTGGAAACCTCCCAAATATGTAAAAACTACAAAAACACACTTCTAAGTAACTGATGGGTCAAAGAAGAAATAAGGGAAACTGAAAGTATTTTGAACTGAATGAAAATGAAATCACGGATGTACAGGTTTCCAGCTGCGCACGTCGGAAGCCTATAAATAGCAGTTTCCTTCTAACGAGAAGTAAAGCTGACGGGGTGAATGTCCACCACTCCTCCTGGACTCATACAAGACGAGAGGACACAGGACAAACTGCTGTCCCCAAGGCTGGAGAGGCAGGCACATACAAGGAATCATGGCTTCCCAAAGCTCGCTCACCAATGGAGCCAGTGCTCGCTAGAAACACCTAAAGTGTAATTGATGAATTGCTGGAGGCTCTGTGTGGACGATTCCGAGGGTTAAAAACTCCAAGGCACCCCAGTCACGGGGGGACTCCGCCATCTTGAGAGATTTATCTCCAAGAGCTCAACCAGGTTCCCACAGTAAATACTGGAAAAAAATCCTCTTAAGCTTCCAGGAGGAGGGGAAGAGGAACCATTTTGAAGACAGCACTGTCCTTTTTTTTTTTATGTTTTTATTTATTTTTGAGAGTGAGAGAGACAGAGCATGAGCAGGGAAGGGGCAGAGAGAGAGACGGAGACATAAAATCCAAACCAGGCTCCAGGCTCTGAGCCATCAGCACAGAGCCAGACCCAAGCTCAAACTCACAAATTGTGAGATCATGACCTGAGCCAAAGTTGGACGCTCAACCGACTGAGCCACCCAGGTGTCCCCAGAGCACTCTGTTCTTAACAAGGCCTGCCCCTGAGAGAAACTAGTTAACCAGAGCCTAACCCACTGGGTTAACATGAAACTAGTTAACCTGAGCCGAGCTGACCTGAGGGAAGAGAAATACCCAATTCAGGTAGCATCCTGTCCGACTCAGGGAGAGGAGGATAAAACTGAGAAACACTTGTGAAGCTCACAGTCCAGAAGCAAAGGCCCATCCAAGTCGGAGACCGAATCACAGGACTTCGAAACGGGTCCCTCTCCCCCACACACACCAAAGGCCTATTTGTAGTAGTTCCTTTCACCTAGTACACCATGTCTGGCTAGCAAGGAAAAGTTAGAAAGCATACCAAAAGGCAAACAGCACCATCTGAAGAGACGAAGGAAGCATCAGAACCAGACATGGCAGGAGTGTTGGAATTATCAGACTGGGAATTCAAAACAACTTTAATAAATAAGCTGAGGGCTTTAATAGATAAACTGACCGCAGACAGGGGCTCCTGGGTGGTTCTGTTGGTTAAGCGTCCAACTCTTGGCTTTGGCTCAGGTCATGATCTCATGGTTTCATAAGTTTGAGCCCCCAGTAGGGCTCCATGCTGGCAGCATGAAGCCTACTTGGAATTCTCTCTACCTCTCTCTCAGTCCCTCCCCTATGTGCTCTGCCTCTCTCTCAAAATAAATAAACTTAAAAAAAAAAAAAAAGAAGTAGACAACATACAGGAATGATGCACAATGTAGCAAGAGAGATGAAATTCCTAATAACCAAAAAACAAATGCTGGAAATCAGAAACCCTGTAACAACTGAAGACTGCCTTTGTGGGCTTATCTGTAGACTGGGCATGGCTGATGGAAGAATCTCTCAAAAACTGAAAAGCACAGAGAACAAAGACTGAAAAAAACAAAACCCAGAACAGAATAACCAAGAGCATACACATAATGGGAGTACCAAAGAAAGAGGAAAAGGAGCAGAACTGTTTGAGAGAATAATGACTGAGGATTAACATCAGATGCCAAACCACAGACCCAGGAAGCTCACAGAACACCAAGCACAATCAATGACCCCAGAACTACACATGTGGCAGCTGAACCTTCTAGAAGCACCATGGCATGTGCCATGCCCTGGCCCCATGCATCAGCGACTCCTCAGCAAGCTGTGGACATTTAGCCAGGAACTTCCCAAAATCCAACTGGGAGGCGATGTGCCCCCATCTACAAGTTTTCAATCGAGAAAATCCAGGAGCACACAGGAAAACTGAAAAAGCTCAAGTGGCTGGACTTCTGAGAGGAAACACTTGGTCAGCACAGAAAATCTTGTCACAAAACATAGGCTAGGGAAATCATCAGCCATGAGACATTTTCACCCAAATTACCCCCTTTCAACTAGCTTTCCTTGTTATATTGGTGTCCCTTCATTTCCCCTCACTCAGACCTGCTTTTCTAGAGCCTTCCTACAGTTCATGTATGGAGACTGTGGTACAGTAAAATGCAGGTAGACTGCTCCTCCAGGCTCAGTAAAGGCTGGGGACCGTCCATCATTCAAGATGCAGGGGTGTTTCAAGACCACCTGAAACATGATGAGGAAACAGAGGGAAGACCCAGGATGGAGCCCAGTGTCAGTGAACGGGGCCCTCCCGCAACCACAGGGAACTCAAAACCAGCCCGCATCCACACAGGCGTGCACCCAGCCTTGGTTCGACTTCTGAGGGGCGAGGAGGTACCGCCCCTGAACAGAGGTGTGTCCCGCAGCAGCCGAAGTGCCATCTCTAAAGGGGAGGGCAAGTCTGTAACTGACATATTGAATATATTTGTGGGGACAGGGACAGGAAGAAAAAAAAAACTGCGAGAGGTGAGGTGTGAGAGAACAAAACCAGACTTTAAACCCTGAAGGCTGCACACCAGGGAGAAGAAACAGGAAGCTCCTTTTAAGGACGGGGTGTTTTATTCAAGGAGACTGGTCAAGAAGGGCTTATTCCAAGTTTCAATGTCCCACCACCTCTATACTGACAGCACCTGGTGCACCATGAGGCAATTCTGCCACTCATGGGCTGGCAGTGCGGCTCTACAGGCTGAAGGACACAGCTGTGGCTCTACAGTAGTGCGGCTCTACAGGCTGTCAGGACAGGGCTGTCTTTGCTTCAGACAGCAACCACAATTCACGGTCGGTCCCCAGGCCACCCCCACTTCCGGCCGACTGGCAGATCCAGAAAGTAATGCTAACCCTGAAAATTATTTAGAAATAAATTTATTCAGGAATAACAGAGAATTGCAATTTGGAACACGCAAATCACCACAAAACAAACCATAGGCAGAGCCTGAGAACCAAGGAGAGGAACATTCTTTTATAGAGGAAAGGTGGGGAATTGGAAGGAGCTGTTATAAGCGAATGGTCCATTGGTGTGAATGGTCCACTGGTGTGAACTGGGAGTTCCAAGTGTAGTGCCTTTTCATTGGCGGACTTGGGACGGTCTCATTGGCTGGGCTGTTGCCAGGGGAGAAGAAAATCTCCCTTCCTCCCGCTGGGTAGCATAGGCTCCTTCCTGTGGGCAATGCATGGTAGCTCTTCCCAGCTCCTCCCCTTGGGTCTGCAAAGGGCTTAAGGAGCGGTACAGCCCAAGGGCTCCCCCTTCCGGCCTCCTAACTCGATTTTAAACATAGTTTCCTTTATTCCGTTTCACACTCCCAGGACATCTTAGTCTGGGCTGCTATAACAAAAACACCAGAAACTGGGTGGCTTAAATATTTATGTCTGGCAGTTCTGAAAGTTGGAAGATCCATCCAAGAGCCAGTGCTGATGGGTTCAATTTCCAGGGAGGAACCACTTCTTGGTTCATGGTCTTCCTGCTGTGTGCCCACATGGCAGAAGGGGCAAGGGTGCTCTACGGGGGTCTCTTTTATACGGGTACTGATCCCACTCACGAGGGCTCTGCTTTCATAACCAAGTCTCCCCACCCCATACCATCACACTGGAGGTCAGGTTTCAACATGTGATTCTGGAGGCAACATGAACATCCAGTCCATAGCACATGACCTCCCTCGAGTTCAGTAATTCAGAGAACTCACAGAACTCAGAAAGTGTGATACTTTTCAGTGTGTATAGACATCGTATAGACCCTCTACACAGACTTCGATGCAAGAAAAATACCAGCCACCGCTTTTTATATTCACAGCTTCTAAGGCATGTCAACCAGCCCTGGCCCTAGTATTTTCATGGGTTTTGAAAGCTCTGTGTCTACAGCCCCAATGATGTTCTGAAGAATCAACTCTTTAAAAAAAAAAAAAAAAAGCTCGTGAAATAGTAGCACAAATACTCCTACCAATTAACTAAAATCAATAGTGGTGAGAGGTGGAATAGAGTAAGGAGATAACATGTCAGTATTAGTTATAGATCACAGATCCATTTCTCAGTGATTAAAACAGGGGAACTGGCCAGTCTTGAATAATACAAAAACTTGACCCCTGATCAGATCATGCCAGAGTGACTAAGTCCCTGATGCCTGGGGTCTGGGATAGTATTTTTTATGTTTGTGTATCTGGGTTTTCTGACTCTTCCCCCACGGTACCGGGGGGCATCTAGGAGGCCTTTCCTCCATGATGGGAGGGCCAGAGTGGTTAGTGGAGTCATCCAGTACCTCCTCATTGACTTATCTTGCAAAACGAGAAGTTAGATGAATCCACTGTTGCCCCAAACTTGAGGACTCTAGGCTGGGCAACAGCCCTGCAAGGCGAGGGGAGTGTAAGGTCTCCCCACTGCAAACAAGATGACCCGAGATGGCGAATATGCACACCTTGATTCACATCTCCAGGGCGCCTTGCACAGAGTTCCCCTTGGGCCACCTCCTTGCCGCTCTTAAAAACAGAGGGAACTGCACTTCCCTACCCTGAGGTGTAGGGTCACCAGGGAGAAGTTCCCTCTGTTGCCCATGGGTCTGTGGAGCGAGCCCCAGCAGCACCCGTGGATTACCCTTCAGCATCCTCCTCTTCCACGCCTAGCTGTTTCCCAAGTGGGAACTGGCTTCAGACAAGGCTTTGGTTTCAGAAGATCGATGAAGATGCTCTTGACCTTTGCCAAAAGCAGAGAAGAATCACCAAAGAACTCTCCTTCCCAGGATCAAAAGAAGAAAATTAAAAGCTGCATCTCAGCTACTGCAGGGAGGTCTTCCCTACGAAGATGATCTCTCTCCCGAGGAAGTGAAAGTCCTTACCGGGAGAGGACACAGAGCAACATCCCTGTCAAGAATTTCCAATGCTCTGGGCCTGATTAGAGTGCCCTGGAATTCCATCCAGCACAAGGCCAGAGATGCGTTCAACTCTCAAATATTCATATAAAAGTTCTGGGGTCCTGACATCCCCAGTGGTTGACCTCTTTTTTATACCACAAAAAGCCTGAGCTGAGCTCCCCTCTTAGGAAAGCCCAGGGTAGGATTTGTTTTACCAAAAAGAGGTTAAATTTCTCCCACTTTTGGATTGGGAATTTACATCCTGGCAACGTCAGCACAGAAGGAGCTCGGGGAATTCCGGCGACCCATTCCCTCCTGCCCCTGAGCAGACTGGGGTTACTTTCACTGCACAGAAAACCCTGCAGGAAAGAGATCCCCTCGTGCTGGAGTCCCGTAGTTCTCTCACTGGCCCTGGAAGTCTCTGGGCCCCCTCGCCTGGTCAGTCCCCACACCTGGAATTGGCTCAAAGGAGAAAAAGAGAAAAGGCTAGTGCAGTGCCAGTACCAGGCACGTGACTCACAAGAGAGTCACACCGGGCCGGCGGCCTGTGGCCAGGGATAAATAGGAATGTTGCTGTTTCCCACGGGACCTGCTAGAAGACTCTCTTGGCCGCAGGTGGTCAGCCCAGCAAGAGAACTAGCACCGCCCTGGAGGCAAGCCCCGCATGACTTGTCTGTATGTATGATGATGGGCTGCGGATATCAAGTTTGTAGTCCACTTGACTGTACTGGCCGCAGTGGGATTTACACCAGCCAGTCCAGTGCCTCACAGCCCTGGGGACGAGCGGCTATCACTGAGCACAGTTATCAGTAAGAAGGCAAGACGCTAATAAGAGCAAAACCACCACAATGTCGACCCAGCTCAGGGTCACTCTTGCCCAGTGGTGTTCCTTGCTCCAAAGCCTGTGGGAAGAAGGCCTTCCGCAAGGCTCTTGCGTGTGCTGCCAGGGTATCCACCAAAAGTGGGAGTGGGAAGCGTTCCCATCCAGGGGACCTGGGCCACCTTGACCTTGAATCACAAATTCAACACAGGCTGACTGAGATCATGGTTTGAAACCTCCGTCTGAAAAGTTTCCTGCTGGATTAAACATTTTAAAACCATTGACGGGGCATGAGGTACAAGGAGAGGAAGGGAAGCAGGACCATTCTCCAGTGGAGGGAGAGGACCCTCTTCTTCTAGAAACTCTGATCTGGGTGGAGACCTGCTATGGGCAGTTTTCCTGAAGGACAGAAAATAACCAGGAGTCTGAGCATACATCTGAACCCCCACCTGCAGGGGGTGAATAATATTGAAATTCAATGACGTGGTAATTGTTTTTAAATCTATGTAAGTTGAAGAGCCCTAGAGAGTAATCAAAACACTAAGGTCCGAAGGCTGCTCCAGAAGGCCAAGGACCTTACACCGGGTGACCTGGGAAAGAGCCTGCGTGGCTACAGATTCCCTCCGAGAGGAAAGGGCTCCCATGACTTTACCTCCCCAAACCCCATCCAACTGCCAGCAGCTGCGGACCTACTGGAACAAGGGGGAGGAGGTCACCCTGCCCCAACGGGCACCAGGAGGTGGAAGTGCTTCCTGGCCCACAGCGCAATCACCTCCCCCACCCTCCACCCCCACCCTCCCACACTCTCAACCCTGAGGAGTCTCAGGAAACTCTCGGAGAGTCCCGCCTGCAGCCCTCCCACCCCTGCCCTGGGCACCCAGAGGCCAGTGTCCATGGCCGGCCTACTTGTAGGAGCAGATGGAGAGCGTGGCGCCCGCAGAGAACACCCAGAAGGCTGGGTACAGAGCTTCGGTGAAGTCCACCTTGAACTTATACATCACGTGGACCTTGTCGGCGACGGCAAAGAAGATGACGAAGCCATGGTCACAGTTGAGAAGCACGCCGACCCGCGTGGCCTTGGTGGGGGGCAGCGTCTTCTCCACATTGTTGTGCCAAGCAGAGATCTTGGTATTGAACCACTCCACGCACCAGGAGGCGCTGTTGCGGCCGAGCCGGCTGTCGGGGCCCTGCCGCGCCATGCTGCCGTAGCAGATGCCCACCCCGCAGAAGTTGTTCTTCTGCAGCTCCACCTCCCAGTACTGAATCCCCTTCTTGTAGCAGTGCAGGCCCAGCACCTGGGAGCAGTACGTGAACCTCTTGGGATGTGGCTGGTAGTTGAGGGGTAAGTCGGCCACGGAGGCTACGGTGTACTTCTCCGTCAGCGCCACCTTGTTGTGGGCCGTGTTGCAGTCCAGGCTGAATTTAATGGCATCTGAGAAAGCATCACCCAAGGAACCAATTACAAGGAGCCCAAAGTGTTCTTACTTTTAACCCTTTCCCCAACTGGTAGTACTTGTTCATTTACTTTATCCGTTTGTCCACCCAACCTGCCATCTAGCCATCCACACATCCATCTTTCCATGCATCCAACTATCCATCCGTTCATCATCCACACACATATCCATCTATCCACCCATTCTGCACAGCCAGCCAGCCACTTGTCCACCTGTCTATCCATCAATCCAGTCACCTGTCCATCTATCAGTCACCCATCTGTCTATTCATCCACCCAATGCCACTCACTGAACACCCAATTCTGTGCAAGACGCACAATTTGGAGCAGGCGCGGCAGCTGACCTCATGGAGTTCACGCCGCAGCCAGAGAGGTGAGCAACCTGCGCACAACACGGGGAATACGCATGCCGCCACAGGGTGGGCACGCGGCTACAGGGGCAAAGAGCTCACTTGATAGGTGGGGAGAGCATGGGGGAGCACTACCCACCTGGGCTGGAATGTGAGCAGAGTGACAGGAAGATGAGAAGAATTAAACAGAAGAAGCGGGGGGGGGGGAAAGCTATTCAGGGCAGAGGGTACAGCGAGTGCAGAGCTTGGGGTCACAAGGACAGTGGGCGCCAAAGGCTGGGCAGCAGGCGAGAAGTCTAGCAGGAGAAGGGGGACGTGTTGGGGCCACACAGTAGACAGGTAAGGGGTCCAGACTGTACTTGGTGGGCAGAGGGGAGCCGAACATTTGTGAGCACGGAAGTTACCTGACTGTATTCCCCTGGTTAGGACACACACGTGGCCTCACCGCCCTTCCTGCCACACTTCCAGCCAGTTCCAGGGGATTGAAGACAGGGCTCAGCCTCGTGTGGTCCCCAGCCTCCAACTCCTTCCCAGGACACACCCATCTCTACCCCTTCCCTCCCAGGAGAGCCTGGACCCTGGGAGAAAGGTTCTGGGCAGTTCTGCACAGGGACAATCCCTGGCTTGGGAACCTGGACACCAAGAGCCCTGGGTTTGCACCACCTCCTGCCGCCCCCTTGTGAGGTGGCTTAGGGCAGGATGCTTTTCACAGAGCCCTGAGTTTCCCCGTGGGCAAAATGAATGGGCTGGGGAAAATGTTCTCCAAGGTCCTGGGCTGCTAGAACTCACTTTCCCTGCTCCCCGGAGCGTGGGGCTCCAGAAACACTTGGCTCAGCACCCCACCAGCAGCTGGGCAGCAGTTAGCTCCAGCCCAGAGCCAGGCCTGGGCCTAGCCTGGGGGCGGGAACAGCAGGAAGCTCAGGGAAGGATGGCCCTGAGAAACCCAGGTACCTGCCCATCCCCCGGGTCCCGCGCCCCGCTCCAGAGAAAGGAGGGCCAGGGCCGGTTTTGCAAGACAGACCTTGGCTGCTGCACGGAGGTGGGTACAAATGGAAGGTGCTACCGTGTGAGGCTGCGGGATGAAGGGGAAACAGAAAGAGCGATGGTGGGGGGAACCTAGGCCTGGCCGTGGGGCAGGAACTCCAATCACTTCCAGTCGGACCAGGGAGGCCAAGCCTGCAAAGGAGCCTAAGGAGTGACCAGAGGGGCAGGTGGAGCCCAAGGGGGCACAGGGACTCAGCAGCCGTAGGGAGACAGGGTTCCCAGAAGGAGGGATGCACCTGAGAGGACCAGCCAACTGAAGGCTGACAGGTGTTCTTGACATTTAGCTGCACGGGGGCTGCCGCTACCCTCAGTGTGGGGACAGAGGCCAGACTGCCATGGGAGAATGCGACTCTTAGTTCTGGCGTCCCCAACAATGCCCCGCCCCCACCCCTGGAGCTTTCAGAAGCACAGAGACATGCAGGGGGGGTCTGTCACGCTCCCCAGGGGCTCAGACACACAGCCACAGCTGAGGACCAGCGCCGGGGGGGGGGCGGGGGGGGTGTGTGTGTGACATCGCAGCTGCATTTTTCCAACTTCCTTCAAAAAGGATCACTGAGGAAATGAGCTTCTCGACAGCTTTCTAGGCTGGTCCCCTGCCGCCTGATTTTGCAGCACTGGCCTGGGGCCCAGAAATTGGTATTTTTAACCAATATTCAGGTGAAAGGGAGGTGGACCCAGAGTGGTAGCCAAGAAAGGCTGGCTGCACTGGCTGCCGCTTTTGTTTTCCTTTGTTTCTTTTGCTCTGCTTTTGTGATGCGGGAGAGTTAAATATGCTGCAGAGGGGCGGGCCCCAGGAGGGCAGGTGAGGATGAGGAGGGGTGTGCAGACAGAGCAGGAGGGGCCCCTCTTCTCTGTGAAGCGCGGGGGAGGGGGGCATGCAGAAGACTGAAGCTATGACAAGTGGGAAGGTTCTGGAATGGCAGGGCAGCCGGCGGGACATCCAGAGCAGGACTGAGGCACAGCCGCGGGCAGCAGGTGCCGGCCCAGAGAAAGAGGCGAGCCGGGCTCACGAGGGCTGCGGGTGTTTAAAGCACCTCCGCAAGGTCCGCGCTGCCTAGGAAGGGAGGTGAAGGAGGGCAGGTGCTGACGGAGGACGGCGAGTCGCTAACCGGGCAAGGGGGGGCCAGGCAGGACCTCCCGACAGAGGCGAGGGCCAAGGCCGTGCACAGCTACACAGGACAGCCCGAGGGCCGGCGGGACCGCTCGCCAGGGCCCATGCTACTCACATTCTAGGAGCTCGGACCTGGACTTGGCCAAGAAGGTGTCCAGCACGTTGCTGGTCTTGAGGAGCGTCGGGTTCGGCTGCGCAGTGGAGGCTTTGGTTGCATCTGGGTGAGGACAGAGAGCCGTGTTCAGAACCAACTCAGGAAGGACACCCCACAGCCCCCTGCCCATGATAACTCACTCTCTGGGCCTGCTTGCTTTAAATCCAGTAACTGTTCTGGGGCTCCGAAGGTGGGCATATTGATGGATGAGGCAGAGGCAGCGGCTGGGGATGAGAAAGAGAAACGTGAATCGGACACACAACAGAGTGACCAGATGGCCTGTCCTCCCTGCCACACTGATTTTCAAGAGCTCCTTCCACAAACACACACCTGGACAGCCGGCGTGATGCGGGTGCGTCCAGACAGGGCTACGCTCATCATCTGTCTCATCCACTTACACTTGCCCTCACCCTCAACCTCAGGCCCACCTGCCACCAGAGAACAGAATGACAGAACTCGGGCCCTATCACAGAACCTAATGAGAGAGAGGGCAGCCTACTCTGCAGTTAACTCCACACCTGCGCAACCTCAAGAAACAAAAAGATGTACACATGTGTCACTTACGAGGTTTCTTGGATTTCTTTTCTTCTTCTGAAAAAGAAAATTTTTAGAATTAAGCTATTTTTACGCACTGCACAATGACACTTTTTGCGCACTGCACAATGACACTTCAAACATACCATAATACTAGTCAATTGCGTGAAGGCGACCCATACAAATAAAGCTAGGATGTTGTAGCTAGAAACAAGCAAACAAATCAATGGGGACAGAAACCTGCCATAGTAGTTTGGGGGACTGGGACAGATAATAAGGAGCATGAAGGAATTTTCTGGGGTAACGGAAATTCATTAACTTGATTTGGGTAATGGGAACACACACATATGCATCTGTCAAAATTAATCTAACTGCACATGTGAGATCTGCATATTTTACGGTAGGTATTACATCTCTTTAAAAGGAAACATGCGGGGCGCCTGGGTGGCTCAGTCGGTTAAGCGTCCGACTTCGGCTCAGATCATGATCTCCCGGTTCGTGGGTTCGAGCCCTGCATCGGGCTCTGTGGTGACAGCTAGCTCAGAGCCTGGAGCCTGCTTCATGTTCTGTATCTCCCTCTCTCTCTGACCCTCCCCTGCTCACGCTGTCTCAGAAATAAATAAAAACGTCTAAAAAAATTTTTTTAATAAATAAATAAAAGGAAAAATGCAAAAGAAAACATATAAAAGGGGGGGAGAATATTACAATAGTCTTTTTTTAAATGCTTATTTATTTTTGAGAGAGAGAGAGCATGCATGTGCATGAGTGCGGGAGAAGCAGAGAGAGGAGCCAGAGAATCTGAAGCAGGTTCCGCTGTATCAGCACAGAGTCTGATGTGGGGCTTGAACCCACGAACCATGAGATCATGACCCGAGCTGAAATCGAAGGTCACAATGAGCCACCCGGGTTCCCCTATCACAACAGTCTTTAAAAACTATCTGGAGGAGGGGTGCCTGGGTGGCTTAGTCGGTTAAGCGTCCGACTTTCGCTTAGGTCATGATCTCGCGGTTCGTGGGTTCGAGCCCCGCGTCAGGCTCTGTGTTGCCAGCTCAGAGCCTGGAGCCTGTTTCAGTCTGTGACTCCCTCTCTCTCTGACCCTCCCCTGCTCACGCTGTCTCTCTCTCTCTCTCTTAGAAATAAAAAAAAAAAAAAAAAAAAAAAAACTATCTGGAGGAGCGCCTGGGTGGCTCAATCGGTTTAAGCGTCTGACTTCGGCTCTGGTCACGATCTCATAGTTCGTGGGTTTGAGCTCCGCATCAGGCTCTGTGCTGACAGCTCGGAGTCTGGAGCCTGCTTCGGGTTCTGTGTTTCCTTCTCTCTCGCCCCTCCCTGCCTTAAGCTCTGTCTCTCTGTCTCAAAAATAAACATTAACAAAATTTAAAAAATAAAAAATAAAATAAAAACTATCTGGAGTATGCACCTATGGAGACTAAGTTTAGCTAAAGCAATGACTCTCTAAGTGTGGTCCCCAGCAGCAGCAGCATGGCCAGGGAATCTGTAGGAAATACAAACTCTGAGATTCCATCCAACACCTGCTGAATCTGAAAGCCTAGGGATGGGGCCCAGCGATCTGTATTTCACAAGCCCCTGGGTGACTGTGATGCATACGAAGTCTACTTGAGCTAGAAGATTCCAGGTTTCCTCCGCCACCTTCCCCACCACTTGGATGACAAGGGGTGTTTTGGATCTTATCCCTGCCCTCCCACAGGGTACTTTACGTTACAGATAAGCCCAGCTCTCTCCTATTATCCTCTACCTCCCCCCACCCCAGCCCCCACTCAGCCCCACACGACCCTCTAGCTCTCCTTCCTCCCCCTTCCGAGCGTTTTCCAGGTGTGGTCTTCACTCTGCCCCCATCTCCTCCTCACCTGCCCACTCCCACTGGACCAGCATCTTGGGGCATCTTGGGAGGACGCCAGGCTGCGCCACGGGCCTAGGGCACGGCATGGGCCCCCTCCCCAGTCATCACAGCTGTTCAGAGTGTCATCTACACTGTGAACAATCCACTCCTTCCCTGCCGATTTCCCCATCTCAGCCCCCGGCCGGCACCCACTGCTCGCTCCTGCTGAGAGAGGTGCCTGTGATCTGGGGAAGGGGGAGGAAGTTTCGGGGGAGCATGACCTATGCCCTCCTCACCAGGCAGCCCGGCCCCTGGATCTACGCCATTCGGAAATGCCAAGGACAAACTAAACTCTCAGAGCAAATGGCACAGACCAAGAGTCCACTCGCCCACCAGGGACAGCTTCCCCGTTCACGCTGCCTTCAGGGAAGCAGTAGCAGCCACAGTTCAGCTTCTCAGGGAGCCTGGGTGGCTCAGTCTGTTGAGCAACCAACTCTTGATTTCAGCTCAGGTCACGATCCCAGCCAGGGTCGTGGGGCTGGGTCCCACATCAGGCTCCAGGTTGAGCGTGGAGCCCCCTTGAGATTCTCATTCTCTCTCTCTCTCTCCCTGTCCCTCTCCCCGACTCGCTCACTCTCTCTCTAAAATAAAAATAAAATAAGAGCTTAATGGGGCGCCTGGGTGGCTTAGTCGGTTAAGCGTCCGACTTTCACTTGGGTCATGATCTCGCGGTTCGTGGGTTCGAGCCCCGCGTCGGGCTCTGTGCTGACTGCCAGTTCAGAGCCTGGAGCCTGTTTCAGTCTGTGACTCCCTCTCTCTCTGACCCTCCCCTGCTCACGCTGTCTCTCTCTCTCTCTCCTAAAAATAAATTAAAAAAAAAACATTTAAAAAAAAAGCTTCACAATCAGCATCCCAGGTGCGCCTGAGGTTCACTCCTTTTTTTTTTTAAATTTTTTTTTTTAATGTTTTATTTATTTCTAGGAGAGAG